AAAAGTGAGTCTCGGTAAAGATTCGTCTGATGAGCTTTAAATATAGAAGTTGAACAGCTGCAACGACTACAGTTAACCACACCACAAACCTCTGTCCACAAACAGCATCACCACTAGTTACACCTTGGAAAAAGACACAATATTTAGATTGTAGTGTCAGGTGCAATTATTTACCATTAGTATTACACACGCACATAAAAAAAGAAAAACAAACAAAGGACCATGGTAAAAACAGTCTGAATTTTATCTTAATTTGCTGGCTTTCCTTTTTCGGATGAAACCTGCATGAGTCTGACAAAAGCACATTGGTGACAGGAATCCTAAATTCACAGCAACTTCTAAATAAGTGCGTAAATACAGATGCACTTTGCCTTAAACCGTTTCATTTTAAGACGCCAATGTTGTCGAGCCAAACAGTCAAAATCAGTCCTCGTTGTCGCAGCTACGTGACGAAAACCACCTGATTTTGTTCTCAGCCTCATGTTAAAACACCCGTTCTTGTCACAACCCCTCTGGGAAACTTTTTGTTCCCCCTCTCTATGAGAAACTGTTGATTGGTTTGAATTTCGTGCGCGTGTTTATTAACGTGGAAAACAGCCTCGACCACTCAACTTCCAGAAGTCGGTTTTCCAGCTTGAGAGCAGGATGGATCACTTTGAAGAGCCGACGCCGTGAACAAGTACGTAGTGAAACATTAACCCCCCCCCCCCCCGCTCGGTTCGGGTCCTATTCAGCGGAAGAACGTTTCATCTGTGCCTCCTGTTCTTATTTTCTGATATCATGGAAAATAAAACAAGATTTTCCAGTTTGTCAATCATTATTTCCTCCTCTTCTGAACTTGTGAACTCATAATAGTTGATCCTCTGTGCCATGAAAGCTGTGTTTATTGCACTCTTGTAAACTATATATATATATGGCCAAACACCACGACCTACAATGCAGTGAGAAGGTTTTACATGAGCTCGGCTCAGTGGGTCTTATCGACTGTGAAGGATCTGTGCAAAAACGAACATCCAAAAACCACATGACTGGGTGCTGACAGCTTGACTCCGGTCTGACCATGTTGGACCTTAAGTCTGCGCTCCACTTTATCTTTGATGCTAGAAAACTGTGGTCCTGCGTCTGATAGTGAGAGACAGGCAGTTTATTTAAAAATGCCTCTTCCAGCAAAAAGATGCGAAAAGTTTGCGGTTGTCCAGCTTCAAAATCTGGTCTAGAGCTAAAATTTTGTAGAAAATACAAAGCCACAGCTGGCTGAGAGATTCCTAAACATTCCCCTTGTTGAGAAGATCGACTAATAAGGTCTTATGAATATTCCCAGTGAGGAAAAGAAAAAAAGTATACTCATTGTTAAGAAAATGAAAGAACCACCACCCATCACTTGCATTAAAAGGTAACACCATCTTAAAACTAACCAGCTAAATGTAGGCTGTACCTGAGCAGCTTGTCCAACTATAATCGTCTAATATCAGCATGTTATAATCTCAGCTGGGTTTTCATAACTGCTCCCCAATAAGCCACCTGTTGGATTTAGTCTCTAGGTTCTGAAGAGCCTAAAGATCCTAGTGAGTGTTTAAAGCATTTCAAAAACAAGGAGTGAGGAGAATTTGATGATTTTTCCGTCACGATTAGAAATATATGAATCACATGAATTGAATTGCCGAACCTTAGTTCAGGTGTTCCTTTGAAAAGAGGCAGAAAACCAAAAGGGCAGACATTTGTTCTAATCTATATCACAGTAAATAATAAAAAAGTTTTATGAAACCACGATAACCGATATTTTACGCCATTTCAGCAGCACTGTGAATAATTGCTGCTTTTCTGTATTAAACCTCACACTGAACCGTGTGTAGTCATTTGTCAGAAGGAAGCTCCATGTGTACCACTATGATGAATGTATTAATAGGTGCAAGTGTAAAATTACTGAGCTCTGCACCGTCTCATCTCTGCCACCTAGAGCTCGGAAAGCAAAAATCAGAATAAACCAGTACCTCTGTTGATGCGGGTTAGCTACAGGCACAGCAGAACAGGTCACTCGCAACTGAATCTGATAAACACCACAGAAGGTTTTCTGGAATATCTCCACTGTTTCACTTTGAATGTTCCTGGATTAACTAAATTACTGTGAAGCAGTAATTAGCTTCACAGGCCGCCGAGTGCTTTACAGGCTCCAGAAAGCAAACAGAAAATAGATGGATGTAGCATGTTTTAGCTGCAGGTCAGCGCCAGCAGAAGTTGCCGTTTCTGCTCTCCAAGATGCCCGAAGCAGCTGATTGGCATATCGACAGCATGGTCTGTTGCTAATCAGCGTAGGCTTATAACAAAGCCCCTTTATGTAGAGACAGGAAGTGATGAGAGTGATCCAAACACGAACCTGGCTGCTACACAAACCAGCTGTGTGCAGAGAGGAGGAAGGACGTGAACAATGCAGATATTTATAGAAAGAAAGTTGCACTTTGACAGAGCACCGCCGTACTGCACGATAAAACTCTGAAAATGTGATTTGATGTATGACACAACTTAAACCAATGTTGTTGTTCAAGGTACACATCACCAAGTCTTAACTTGTCCCGATGTTTCTAGAGGGTAGAAGTACAACTACATCTTATAGCAGTCATAAATTCTGAAGTAGAAAGACACAGAAATGAAAAATATGGAGTCAGAAAACATCAGTTTTACACTGCTTTCCAAAGTATGCACAAACTTGTAGAAACTTGTCATAAATAATAAATCAAGAACAACTAATGTTTCCCAGAAAGAAAGGTCACTCCAAAGCCACTAAACACCTAACACTCCATTTAATGGATTTAGTAGCAAATCTTATTAAGAGAAAAAAAAAATACACAGAGGTTATGTTTCAGACAACTGCTTTTCTGTTGTGACTGGCTACATAAGTGGGACACGGCATGAAAAACAGCTCCACCCATAACCCCGTGCTCTGTCAAGTTCCAGAAAGGCAACTCACTGGAGTGGCAGGCCTCTAGCTCCTCCTGTGGTCGGTGATGTGTGCCTTCTCCACCGCTCATGTCCCCCAGACACGGTCCGCCTCGGTGAAACAACCTTCCTGCCAGCTTGTGAATAACAGACATCCTGCAAGGCCACAGAAGGCGCACTAACTGCCTCTGTAGCGTTCGAGACTCCGCAGTACGCCCGGACCTTTTCACAAAGCGGGAAGTCCGCAACAACTTAAAACCAGGTACAAACTTTCAATTAGCCTGCGTGTGGTCTACAGAGCAGGAGAGGAGACGGCCGACTGTGCGAAGCCGGGGCTGGACCTTCCTCGCTCCTTCACTTCCTGCTGCAGCTCGCAGCTTTGTCCGCCCCGCTTCTTCCTGTGGGCCAGAAATTAGCCCTTTATACCAGCGCGGCAGCTCACTACTTCTGTTCCCCCGTCCGCAACGTCCTATGGCGACAGAGGCCGCGCACCTGAAGCAACCCTCGATGCGCACGTTCCTTTTTCCGCAGGAACCAAAATGTCCTGCCATGTTGTGCCTAATCTCTGCCTGCTCAGTGGGGGGGAAAAAATGACACCTCTGGGTGTGGGGCTTTAAAATCCCTGGTCTGCACCTGTCTCTGCAGATCAGGGTGGACCAACAGCGATCAGGCTGATAAGAATGTGAAGCATGGAGACATGGACCTGAATATAGCACCTCCTCTGTACCCCAAAAAATAAATAAATAAATAATTCTAAAGCATAAAAATCTACTTCTTAAATCAGCGGTAGGCTACCTTTACAAAGACTGGGGTTCACACCTACTCTCTATCAGTAACAAGGAGCTGATGATTATTTCACAGCTCCACGTTTAGACTTTGCACATTTGGACATTATTTATGGCTTTATAAGTACATACATAAAGCAGTTCCCTCCTGAGTATTCTGTAAGGCTGGTGAGATTGAAAAAAGGCAGAAGAAAAAAACTGTCAGAAAACTTTAAAACAAAGTAAATATTTTTGGATCACTCGGGTGTCAGGAACTCTTCTGGATGTATTTGCAGTGTTCTGATCACTTGTAGTCTATCGTGGTAAAACTTTGCATCCTGCTCAGTTATACGTTTGAGCAGAAGTTGCCGAGAGCAACAACAATTTCCCCACATCAGAAACAATGTGCGCTCACAAAAACTTTGCGACACATACAAGTGCCTTTGTTGGAGACGTTGCTCATCACATGGTGTTCAAGAGACTCTTCAGCTCCCAAGTTTCTGCCTGGAGAAGATCACCCTGATGCATCATATGACTCCACCCTGGTATCTTTATTTCTTTCTGCTGATAACAACAATCTGAACCCTTTATTTTCTTCGAGATGCAACTCAATAAATGCAAACTAGACAACTGTATCTTCATTACAGTTTTTATAGCTTTACAATCTGTGAATACTAAGAATGTTTTCCCACATGCAAAACTGTAAAGTTGAAAAAAAAAAAAAGAAAGAAAAAAAAAACCCAGAAACCACAAGAAAACCTATGACTGTTTTAAAAGACCTTGCTGTCGTAACCACTGGTACCTCTGAATTTAACCCGGGGCTTAGGATCACGAGCTTTCCCACAGGATGAGACTATGTAGCAGTTTCTGCACTCCAACAATGTGGCTTGACTTTTTGTGTGTGTAAGTGAATGGAAATTTCTCAAGCTTGTGAGGTCTAAAACGCTGCATTTCACTTAGGATGTTTGTCTCTTGAAACTGTGGAGAGGTGATAAATTACTGCCACAGTGAGAACGTACTGCAGTAAATGGTTACACCCAAAACAATCTACACTTACATGAAGTTAGATATAGAACTCCTGTGTGTGTGTGTGTGTGTGTGTGTGCGTGTTTTAGTTATGAAACATACCTGTGCATACTTCCTCAAATAAACAAAAGTAATATTACCTTGGCCAACCCAGTGAAAACAATTCCAAGATACGTTTTTTTTTTTTTGTTATAAACAAAATTCTGTAATTTTGAGTAAGTTTTTTTCACGTTGCATTTCAAGGATAGGGGCTGCTGTCAATACGGGAGTACTCACCACTTTCCATTTCATTGCCCTTCTTCGCGGTGGGCGTGTTGCCCATGATTGCAGTCTGATGGTGGGGTCTCTTGGCTCCGAATGACTTTTTCTTAGAAGTCGCCTAGTTAACGTGCTCCGCTAACGAAGTCGTAGGACTCAATGAAGTTGACAGCTGGCTTCTAGCTGACAGCTATCATTATTAGAAAGCCCAGGTGACAAAATTTTCCTCCAGCAGTTTTTTGTTGAATTGTGAGTTCGGAAAAAGTCCAGTTGAGAGAGCGCGTCTCCAAGTCTTCAGCTAAAACTAACTGCTGATGTTAGCTAAGCTAGCGCCTTAGCTCGCGGAGATAGCCAGCGGACATCAGCTTACTGACGTTAGCATACAAATTTCCAACACAGCACCGACGAATCCTGCTGGTGTCACTCGGTTTCTTCTTTATTCCAGAAGCCGCGTAATTTTCTCCAATATCCGGTCCCGATGCAAATCGTCGAAAGATGTTTTTTTGTTTTTAACTAGCAAGTTAACGTTAGCATTTCGGATCTTGGCCTTAATAAACCAGGTGCTGTCTCAGGCCTTGTCAGTTGATATTTAGGTGAGAGAATTTATATCCGGTTGACTCGTTTTTCCTGCAGTCGACTATTTATATTGATATGGTTCCATTCGTTTCTTGATCAGTCGTGAGGTGCAACAAAATCCTGGGACAGACCACCTGATAGTCGATTCTTTAGATCAACAGACCTCTTCCATTAATCTTCAGACCGCAAGGGAAACTCCAGTCATCCATCCACCTGGTCCCGCCTCTTCTTGTATATGATTGGCCTCGTACCGAAATACTTGCATGATATGTGTCACACAAGAGCCTCCTATTGGTTGAGTAGAAAATATCCAAATATTGGATTGATGCGATTCGCCTGTTGAACGCTACATCCCGCCTTCCACACTTGTTAGTAACCAATACGCATGAACGTGTATTTTTTGGCTTTAACCTATTAAATATTGGGATTTATATTATTTATTTTAGCAAAGCACGTACGTTTTACAGTCTTCTTCTCATTTATTGATAAACATTTTTTCAGTTACGCACACAACTCACCTCGTTTACCCCGCCAATGTGCGACTGGGCGTGACGTTAACGTGGGCTATTTTTAGTAAATTGTGAGAATACAAAGGGAAACACAGCTGGCACTTCAGCTTAAATCGGTGGGAACTGCTCGCTGTAAATAAGATATTATGAATAAAATAACTTAATCTGTCTTCCAAATTACAATGAGAACCCCAGTCACGCAGAGAACTATAACAATCTCTCTTTATTTGTAACACAAAACTCCAATCAGAAAAGAAAAACAAAACAGGAAGTGATACAGTTCTTACAAAGCCTTTCTGAAAAAAATTAAGTTAAGTAGAAGTTTAAGTGCAATTTCACTCAAATATTATTAGATCACCTAACTTCTTCATACATATTGCTGGTTATGTCAAATACTCCAGTGCTGTAAATGTGAAAACAGTTACAAATCCACTCTCTAACCAAAGAATGTGGCCAAGTCATAGAGCAGCATGTAGTTAAATTTAGTTTAGCTGCATCATTTCATAGCCGTTTATTTTTAACACTTCAATGTAGCTTTTGATAATCACAAGAACGGCACCTTCAAAAAAACAATGATTCCATTAAGATGTTCATAATCTCATAGGAATAAACACAGGAAGTGAGGATTGAGGATGTTTCAGGAAAACTGAAGCAGTAAGGCTGAGAGATCTTCACCCACACTAGAATGTCCATAGGCATCCTTTAAAAACAAGGTAACTTGGCGTCTGTCATCACCTTTTGGGTATCTCTATAAGCAATCCATAGAGTTATCTGGTAGTATGCCCACCGGTGGGACCTTGCCTGGCAGACAGGATGGGGGAAGCATGGAGTTTGATGTAGGATCCATGTTTTCAGAGTCTTCCATTTTCTCGGCGCAGCCTTCCCAGTTTATGTGAAATCTTGTAACACGTGGGTTTGATGCTAGGATATTTCTCTGGAGCTGAAAAATAACAACAAAAAAACAGAATGAGTTACCATGGTAGAACAGTAAGACTTATGGTATAAATAAATATGGCGTCTTGGAATGTTTGAGGGTGACTGCCATTAACTACTGAGCTAAAGTTAAAACTGTAGAAAAGTAATACTGGAAACTTACAGTGGTTTCAGGCAAATAAAAAACAGCTTAGTGGAAATTTGGATCTTATAACCTTTGACTTGAGACATTTTTAATATGAAATGAGCAACTACATTAAGTAATCACTTTGCAGCTTTAACTCATCTTTTTTGCGCCTCCAAGGGAACTCTTATTCCACATGTGAGATGTCTGAAAAATGTGACACCTACAATCAAAATCCTTTCTCATTACGGCAAATCTCACAGCAACTTACGACCGAAGCGAATACCTGAATGAGTCACTGCTTGCAAAATGGCAGAAAATCTCTGTAAATTACATAATGAGGAATCGGCTAATTAGCTATTCACAGGACTTTGGTGGGCCATGAAAGCGTGCTTGATGGTGTGAAAGTTTTTTTTTTTTTTTTCATATTTTAAATGTGCAAGCACAAAAATGTAGGCAAACACAGAACATGTGTTTTGCTTTTAAATAAATATATTACTCGTGTATCTGTGGCATTTTTAAATAAACTTTTTGATCTGAAAGAAAAACTTCAAACCCTGAAATGGCTTTAAATGGTTAAAATTCCTTAGAATGGATCTATCATTATGTTCTACAGATTTCACACATCAGATTTCCTCTGTTTTTGCATTATTAATTCAGTTGATTTAGATTATCAAACAAATGTTAATGGTAGACAAAAATAACTTGAATGAAAACAAAATACTGTTTTCAAATAGTAATGATAATAAGAGAAGAAAATCTGTCCAACCATCCTGATGCTTTTATACCCTTCTAGTGTAATTTTGCCCTAGTGTTCTGAAGAATGCGGTTAATTCAGCCCCACATGAGGGTTTTCAGGCATGAAGAGACTGTTTTAGGTCACACCATCCACAGCAATTCCATCATATTCAAATCTGGATTTCTAAGCTCCAATAGAACCAACCTTCAGCTTATTTTTTGAGATATTGAGAAGTGAACTTGCTGGTGTTCCATGGCTCATTTCTCCTGATGCATAACCCACATGAGCTTTAGCTTAAGGTCAAAAAGTGATGGCCCAGAAATTCTGGATTTTCTGGTAGAAACTATAATTCCTGGTTCTATAGTTAAGTCATCACAATACATTCAACATGTTTTGACATGTTTGGCTCTCTGTATGATGTTTTTTTTTTGTTCTGAAATGATGTTATTTTTACACCAGATGTGACAGTACGCACATCTTCTAGAAAGTTTCATCTTTGTCTTGTCAACCCACGGAGTATTATATCTAAACTCTAGGTTAGTTTTATTAGGATGTTTGGCAAATGTTATAGTGGCCTTTGTGAGGTTTGGTCAGCAGTGGTTTTTCAATCTGGAACTCTGCTTTGGTGCCATTTTGGCCCAATTTCCTTCTTATAACTGAATCATGAACATTCACCTTAATGAAGGAAAGTGAAACCTGCAGTGCTTTAGATGTTTGATCTGTGCTTTCGTGACTTCAGAGATAAATCATCAATCCACTCTGGAGCTACCTTTGGCAGATAGATTATGGCATCCCAATTTCTTAGAAATGGCTTTGTGACTCTTTCCAGAGGGACAAAGGTAAATGACGTCGTTTCTCAACCGAGTGTCTTTGGATCCAGGCATGGCGTGTTGCTTTTTAAGATCTTTTGCCTATTTTGGGATATCTGCAAATGATTTCTTGACTCTACAGGTTTGTCAGAGAGAAAGCATCAGTAGGGATAGTGAAACTAGAATTTGGTTTATCACAGTTAATGCATAATTTACTAAACGGTGACAGTGTTTGTTTTTTTCTGTTAAATACAGGGTTGTGTTGGTATAGTTATTTTCCCCTTTACAAATTAAGCGAATTTGAAAACTACATTCTATTTTTTCTCATCTAATTTAGCAAAATACTCAGCTTATATTAGCTTACACTTGCCATCTTATAAAATTGTGAATATGTCCTCTTTATTTATTTTACCATTCATTTATTTCCTTTTATGTTTATCTAAAACCAAAAAAAGAATATTACTACCCAGTCACACGTAAAGTCTATATATATATATATATATATATATATATATATATATTTATATATATATGTTTTTTTTTATATTGAACATTGAGACATTTATGTTAGCAAAAGCCATGTTACCATAAATCAACAAGTCTGACCTGTGTGTAGTCTGGCTTGTTTGGAGGATTTTCACGAAGCTCTGGGTCTGTGTATTCGTTGTTCACATAGTAACCGATACGAATAAACTCCTGGCCACGATAAGTGCATGTAATTAGAACTACGGTTACGCCAACAGCATCACTTTCAGGAATCAAACCAGTATTTGGGGCGTCAGCCTGACAAAAGAAAAAAAAAAGAAAAAAAAAGCATTTAAACTTCAAATGGAGTATGTGTTACATAAGACACAGCTACAGGTAAACAGTAACCTTTCTAGTATTTTTTTTTTTTTACATTTTCTGAAAACAAACATACCTGAAAAACAAACATATGTCTCCCAGCAGGCACAGGCCCAACCAAAACAGAGTCCAGGATTTGGTCATACTCTTCACTTTCTGCTGAACCGACATAGATGATCTTCCATTCTAGATCTATAAAATAAAAAAATAAAAATACTATAGTTACAAATTAAAAAGGAGTTAACTACAATGCGTAAACATGAAGCAAGTTTAAGGTTGTTTCATTTGTTCAAATTTAGTCATTCCAGTAATAGGAGTCCCAAAAATGATATCAACAGACTGACTGTGGGAGCATGAGGCAGAATTTCCACCCACACAAGGATTGGCCACCACAGATACCAGACCTCATGGAGATTCTTTGAGATGCTGAAGAACATTCAATAACGCCATCAGAAGGCTTTCTGTATTCCTTGGAGAATACAGAATATCACCGTCACATCATTTAGAACTCAGTACTTGTTAGAAATCCCTGCAGCTTTTTCAGTGCTGCAGTCAACCTATTGGCAGTATCGTTGATCAGATTCAGCTTAATCTTTTCATTGGTTGTTGATGACTTTCCAATTATCTGCAACATGTGGCTCTGGGGCTGCAAGTGGCTCTTTGGGCCTTTCAGAATGGCTTTTATCTTTGACTATAAATGTTATGGACCTAAAGTTGCCAAATATAAATGTTTCAACAAATGCAGGTTTCAGCAGCTTTTTTAGCATTTCCACAACAGAAATACACTAAAAGTACCAGTAAAATCATTTTAGATCCAGTTCTCTTAACATTAGTTTGTTAACTATTGTGCTTTAATTTATACAATTTTCCATAAATATGAACACCCCAGAGGGAAATGTACCATATCCATCTTCATTTTGCAAATATTTTATTCTAATCCTAAAAATATAAACAAAGTGGTAGCTCAGATTCATTATAACTGATGACAGGTGTGAATTCAATAAAACTCGATGCTTAAACTGAATCATAAAGGCATTTCAATAAATGCAACGTCATTGTTGCTTTTTATTTTAAGGTTTTATTCCAGTTTGTAAATTAGCTAGTTTTCCTCTTTAATTAGATTTTATAAATGTCACATTATGTGTTGAAAAAAGTATTGAAATTGCCCATTAGTGTTTAATTTTACTTGCGTAGCAAAAAACTGTCATTTTATATTTGTGCTACACTTTTAAACTGCCACAAATTGAACTCGCCGTCTCTCTTTTTTCTCTAAA